TATTTTCAAACGAATTAGAAGCAAATGTTGATTAAATCAATACAGTCTCCATTAGAAAAAATCTGAGTATCTCATGCTAGTTATGGACATTTTGGGGGCTCTTTTCTTTAAGGAGAGTCAGAATTTATCAGGTTGGTGGAATTGGTTATTCTAGGTACTTATCCCTTCAAACAAAAAGTTTTATCTTTCTACTAAACTTTCAGTGATTCAATGCATATTATATTTAACCTCTGTATGGAATGAAAACATGCCCTTAAGGAACACAGAATGTAATCCATGTGCACAAATAACTATTGATATAAGGGCAGATGGGAATGCTGAAATCTAAGCCCCACATGCAGTGAAAGAAGAGTAGAATGGAGTAAGAAAGGAGAATGAAAAGGTGAGAGAAAAAGGGGATCTGGGAAGGCTTTTGATGCAACTGTTCCTTGTAGGCTAGTTATGATTTTAACAAGAAATGGAGAGGAAAGGCACTCCAGGTGAAGCAGTGTTAGAGCCAAGGCAATGAGGAAGTAGAGTACAGAGAATATTCATTATACAGAAAAGAGTCCAGTTTACCTGAGGTGGAGGACAAGTGAGGGGCACATAGTAGGTGCTCAAGTGAAATGTCTGATCAATGAATGAGTGGGTAGAAGATGTAACTGGAAATAATAGCAAGGTCTAATGATTCTCAAACTTTCTTCAGCGGCCTTAATTCAGTCTTATAAATTACTAATTAATTTTACTGGCAGAATATGTGAATATAAAAACTATGCAACATAAAAATCATAATCATGAATGTAAGTCAGTAAGGAAAAAAATCTGCCAAAGTAGGTCCAATTGAGGGCTTTGGTTTATTTGTTCATGTTTTTGCCTTGTTAGTAGAATCAGTGGATAAGAAACAATTATGGGAGAGAAATTGTGAAAAATCCATCCATTTATTCCACTACTCCTCTGAGGCCTCTTTTGAATTAGAGAAATTCCATTTTCTCTGGTCAAAAGAATGGCCCCCTCTGGGAGCCATTAAAGATTTTTGAAAAGGGGGATAACATGGTATTTAAGCAGTCCTCTCAGTAGTCACATGTAGGATTGGAGGCTTGGCAATAAGTCAGTGATGTGGTGCAGTGATCTGTCCAGGCAGAGGTGGTGAGAAGCAGCAGCAATGAAAATAGAATGAAAGGAAATAGAAATTCAAATCTGGCCTTCTGTCTCCAAATAAAAAATAGTTAACAATTATTAAACAGCTTTCATATTGCTAGGACATTAGGTGTTTCAGTGATTGGTTACCTCTAGTCCAAAGTTCTTTCACTCTATTTTTAGGGAAAATGAGTTTAAATCTCAATTTTAGTTTTACTTTGAGTAAGGAAATTATAAATTATAGGTAATTTATCTATGAATTATAGATTATTTGGAAAATAGAGAAAAGAGGGAAAAAATCCCTAATTCCATCACCCTAATAAAACCCCTATTTTTTAACATTTACTTACCCTTGATTTTATAGATTGAAAAACTTTTCTAATAGTCATTCTGGGTAAATCATCTGATAAACAGGTTCTTGAACTAATAAAGCTTAACCCATTAACTGCTATTCTGTGATGTTAAACACAGTAAGCCCAGAGATTTCCCATCATGCCTTCATTGCACTCTAGTTTACCAGGATTGCAAACTATGTCAATGTCATGAATCTGTTTTAGTCCACTTACCTTTATACATGTAGGTATTAACCCAAGGTTCCCTTTGAGCCCAAGGTTCCCTCCTTCAGTTTGCATAATTTAAGTTTTTTATTTTGTAACAATTTTGGACTTAGAGAAAAGTTGTAAAAATAGTACAGAGCCCTCACTCAGCTTCCTTTAATGTTATCTTAAATAACCATAGTACTGTGATCAGAACCAGGACATTAACAATACTACTAACTAAAGACCTCTTTTGAACCTCACCAGTTTGTCCACCTTTGTTGTTTTTGTTTGTTTGTTTCAGGATCCTATTTGTGATTTCAGATTGCATTTTGTATGGTTTTCTTCATTAGTTTCCTGCATTCTCTAAAAGTTTTTCAGTCTTTCTTTTACAACTTTGACATTTTTGGAAAGTATTGATCAGTTATTTTGTCAAATGTCTCTCAATTTGGGTTTTTCTGATGTTTTCTCATGACTGTACTGAAATGATATGGTTTAGATAAGAATGCCACAAATAATGCTGTGTCCTCAGTGAATTATTACCATGGGATTCATGATGTCAGTATGTATTATTGCTGTTGATGTTGACCTTGATCACTTGGTTAAGGTGGTTTCTGCAGGGGGTTTCTCCATGGAAAGTTACACTATCTTTCCCTTTGTAGTTAGTAAATATCTTGGTGGAGATACTTTGATACTATCATTTGGACAAATGGAGTTCTCTACACATGGAATTGTGTTTACTTAGAGGCTTCACTGAACTTTATTTAATTATTAATGAAATGAATTCCCTTAAGAGACTTACTACCTTCTGAATTTCCCGTACCTTTCACCCAGTTTCATCACAGAGATCCACCCAGGCTCTTCAGGAACAAATCCTTTCTAGTCTTCATTGGTCTCAGTCTTGATGTTCCATGCATAAGTTTCCAAAGAAGTTTCCATGAATGTTGCATGAAATTTCCAATGCTAATAACTTGTAGATCTCTGAACTTTATTTGTTCCCCTGTCTCTTAGGGTGACAGGCTCTTCCTGACTCAGTGCCATTTCAGGCCTACTCTCTCTCTCTGCATAAGCTAGTTTCATTTCAGCAAACATTTGAATGACTACTTTGGGTTTTTTCAGAAACAGAGGCTAAAATGAAATTTATTGGTGAGGAATACAGTAGGGGATAATTAGGGTGGCTGCAGCTGTAGCCTGGTTTATTACTTTGGCCTGAGGAAAATGGCAGCAGCAGCACTTTATGCTGTCCTGTGTGTACTTATTGTGAAGTAATGGTTCTCTGTATTTTGTTAATACAGAANTTAGAGAAATTCTGTTTCTCTTTTATTGCTTTAAAAGATGAAAGATGTTCTTTCATAAATTAACATTCTGCTGTATGCTACTCTGCTTGCTAGTGGAGACCAATAATGGAAGGTTTGGGATATGACCAAGCAGGATTTTTCAGGCTGTGTTCTTCCATTACCACCACCCCACCCCTTCTCTTGACTGTTTTTTTCAAGTCTTAGAGGCAGTCTCTCCCTGTTATCAATACTTACATTTTTTCAGAAGTTAAGGTGGGTTATTTTGGTGTATCATTCCCTGCAAAGTACTTGAAAAATCTGACAATTTCTGTTGAAGCAGTTTTACTAAGTACTCAACTAGTCATCCAACTTTAGGATCCCTGGACATTTGAACATGACATCTGAAACCATATAATTTACTCTTCCTCTTTACCTAGCAATCATGTCCACAAAACTCTCAGGCAATTGGGTACTCACCTAGCACAAACCTGTAGTTACGCAATTTATTTTGGATGGGGAGGCCCTGTGGTTGATGCAGGGTTCTCTCTCTCTCTCTGAGAGAGAATCTTCTGTGCAGACTTGTAAAGTAAATAAGAAATGTCCAAAAATAACTTATACAAGGTGAATGTAAGTATGTAGGAGAGTTTATGTGAAGTATTTCCTGAGGGGCTTCAAAAGAGATTGCAATCTATTAGGGTGAGATTTCCCTGTGGATCACCTCCCTTGCCTGGCTGAGATCTAAAAAGTCACGTTATCTAGCTGCATTGTAACCAAGGTTGAAGCTCTGTAACTGCCCCCACTACTCTAGTTTTATTTGATTAGTTCCACAATGAATATATAATCATCTTTTAATGACTTGATGGAAGAACCTGACCTTGATAATTGTACATTCTTTCTTTGCATTTAGCATTGATCAGTAGAAATCCTGTGTTTCATACTTTGAAATGGCACCAACATCCCCACCCAGATCCAGCAGGAGGAGACCTGGGTTAGAATACTTATGATTAGCAAAAGAAAAGCAATAGTATCTTTTTTTTTTTTTTAATTTGGACACTTCTCTTGTTAAAGGATTATTGTAGTTTAGTATATTGTTAAAATATAAGAGCGTAATTAATTTTGGACCTTGCATCTATGTAATTTTACCAAGAAATCTTAATGAAATCTTTTAAAAAATCAATTCATATATTTTCTCACAACCGATAGAAACACAACAGACTTTCATATTTGGTGAGGATTCTGCTGATGAGTTTCTTCATCAGTGTACTTATAAAACAACTCCTTTCAATAAAACTGTTTTATAACTGGGAGTGATCTGTAGAAGGGTGTGTGTTGGTCCTCTGGGGCCTTTGTGTGCCCTGCCTGCAAATGTAAGTTCTGGGCTGACTTCACATGTTTGTAGGCAGGACTCTGACAGCTGTTTTTGGTGATATAAGTTGGCCTCTTCCCTGAGAGAGGGGTGGTGATCTTTCACTGTCCTTGCCTTTTGGGCGGAACCGTTGCAATGCCAAGCATTTAAAAATTGAAGCATTTAAAAATTGACTCATTAGCACCGTGAATCTAAAAGCTCAGTTTACACAATAGTTTTCTTTAAGAGTGTGTTTTAAGACAGTTGGAGGAGTTTTGCCTGTTGAAATTAGATAAGACCAGACACCCTTGGGATTTTGAATTAAGAATTCAAACAATGAGATTTTTTGGTAATTCTCTAAAGCACTACGAAAATGTCTTCCAGTGTTCTTTTTGACTTGACTAGTGGGAAAGACTGTTTTTAAGGCTAGCCGTCTGGAAGCAGCTGCCACCCTACAAACCTTATTGTTACACTGCTGACCTTTGTCATCAAGAATGCCTCAGGAGGAAACAGCCTTCTAATTGTTTTTCTTAAGCCTTTATGAGTTTGTGATGTGTACTTTCAATTTACTTTTGATTAGTTTTTAAAATTTGCTTTGTTTGACTTTAATTGAAGGTTTGTCTCTTTAGCTTTATCATGAATTGTCAGTGTTGAGTTCCTGGTAGGTGGTAAAAAGAATTGCCCTTTCCCTGTTATCCTGTTCTGGAAGCTTGTGGTTTTAGATTCAGTTTCTCATTGTTGCTAGTTGCAGTTGTCTCCTCCCTCCTACCCTTCCCTCCCCACAGCTCTAGCTCTTCCCTTGTCCCTCCCCATTCCTGTATCATTTGCCCCACAACTCCTGAAATTGCCTGAGCCTTTTGCTGGAGATTGACTGTGCTGTCCAGTAAGTACGGTGTTTGTGGTAAGCCTGGGTGAAAGGAGGAGGGATGTAGGGAAGTGTTGCTTTTAACAGAAGAGTTTAAACTTTGAAACTAGGTTTTAGGATCCTCTTAACTTTTAGGAGGAGACTTCTTTCATGCTAACTATTGTTTCTGTTTCAATTATTCAGGGTTTAGAAGTTTGATTTTTATTATTCATTTAAAAAAACATTCTCATGGGTTTTCTTGAGTGTTAAAGTCAAGGGTTATGGATTTAGTGTTTTAAATTTCCTTCAAATAGCAGCTTATTTGGGATTTCTTTATGCTTATTTTCAGTATTAACATGCTGATGAAAGCTGTAATGAAAGTATCTTGTGAATGAGCTGAAAAGCAGCATTTACTTCTAGGATCAGAGTGATTCTTTTTACTCTCAGTAGAATGTTTTTGACAAAATTCACTAAGATTTGGCAATGTGTTGTTAATTCTGGGAAGTGGTTTGCTGAGTATTTCAGGATAACAGATGGTTCTGGGAATTATTTTTTGGAAGTTAAGATTTGTTCATTAGTACCTGCACCCTTGACGTATGATATCTGTAATGCTTTTGAAAGTAAAATGTTTAATATTTGGTGTTCAAATTGAGTAAAATATCACTTTGATAACCGGGTTTCTGTTTGCTTGGATTGTATGTTTTGATCCTCAACTAAGAAACTGTGTGTGTGTGTGTGTGTTTTGACACTTATTGAATGATACTCTAGTATTTCAAGCAGTTATAAATTGTTAACCTTTAGTTCTCCAGAAGTACTGCTAATTAAGTCATTTTATGGTAGACAATGTGAGGCAAAACTTGTTTGTGGGATTTTATAGCTGTTCAATTGAGTCTCTTATTCAAGTGATAGTTGTTGCACTTGTATAATAATGATTTCCTGAGTTTCTGCTATGTGGCAGGTGGTAGTTCCTATGCTAAATGCTTTACATTTACTTCTAATTCCCAGTACTACCCTGCCAGGTAGGTAGTAGTATCCTTCTGGGTAGCGGTCATGCATAGGTAGAAAGGACAAGAGTTTTTCTTTTAGAAAAATAAGGAGGAAATAAATCTCTACTTAAATGAGGAAAATAATCCCTACTTGGTAGATTGTGAGAATTAAGACATCCCACGTCTAAATATTGATTAGGGTTTGCTTTTGGCAAATTTTACAGCCAAGTCACGTGTAGAAGTTCTCTGTTGTAAGTTGTTGAGCTAGGATTTGAACTGGCTCAACACCTGGAGTCTGGTAGCATGTTTTTGTTTGAGTGTTGTGAAGGCTTTTAGAGTAGATTTGAGTGACTCACTGCTCATCCCTCTATCTCCTGCATTCACAGAAAAGGGGTTCTTTGTAGATGTCCTTCTTTCCTTGGTATCTTCTGTGACCTTCCCAATCATGTGTTTAGGCTCTCACACTGGAGTTGCTTGTGTCATTCAGTACCAGTGTTCTCCCAGCAGAAATGAGTCAAAACAGTGGAGTCAGTGGCTTCCCTTCCTATTTTCCTCTTGTTGATAAAGCCATCATGCTTTCATTAATGTTTGTGCTGAAATGACCTGGGTAGTGGTGTGTTATGATTCATAGTTGCAATCAAGCATTTAAATTAAAAAATGTTAGTGAATTAAAAAATTAGAAAAAAAGTCTCTAGCTTTATTATTGAACCAGAGGATAATATAAGGCAACTTTATGGAGTTCATAGTTATCATTTTGCTACTCTGGGGCCTAGTGTAATTGCTATTGATTCTCTTTCCTTTAACCCCTGCTGTTACTAGTTTGGTGCTATTAGTGTCCTACTAGCCATAAAATTGAGTATCTTTTTTCCTTAGAAATTTTGGAAACAGAAGGTATGATTTAGGTATGATATAATGTAGGCGGTAGATTCAGGAAAGAGACATAATGACTTTCATGCTTATAACTGAGTTATCTCTAAACTGAAAAATGTGTTTCACACAACTTAGTTCTTCGTTTAATCTTATGTCTAACAAGTATTGAGCATCTGTTGAGTGTAAGGCAATGTAACTCAATACAAAGTTTTCTAATAAAGTACTAATGTACTTGTTAATAATGATTAATGATGTTCCTGGGAGGGAAGGATTGAGTCCCAATTGATGGGGAGTGGTATTTAGACAATTTTTGGAAAATGAATTAATATAAATGACTACTCCTTCCTGATAGGGTATGAATATCATTAGTCTTTATTACTATAAGTTGCCTGCAGAATGACTTCTTCAAATAGATTTGTTGAGTGGAAAAGATTATTGATATTAAGTAGGACTTAGAAGATGTTGGTGGGAAGAAGATAATATTCCTTAAGCAATTGAGCAAAATGCTGAGCATATACACAGAACAAATATTTTTGTGTGTTTTAAGGGGAGCAGTGGTAGAGGAGTTTAAATTGGGCATGTGTTAAGATCATGGAAGACCATTTAAGGCAAAGAATGTTTGACTATTTTGTCAGTGAAGTTTTCTGAGCTAAATAGTGATTTATTAAAATTTGTTTTTGGCAATATTTTATAGATAGGATTAGAAGGGGAAGATATTAACAATAGTCTAGGTGAATTATATTGAGGATGCATTAATTTTAGAATACATTTTTCCTCATTTTGATATGGCTTTGGGTTGTGCTATCAATTTTAGTTTATTCTCATGGAATTTTTATAGTAAGTGTATGTGCATGTGTTTGTGTGTATAGGAAAGAAAGGAAGAATGAATGGGGATGGGTATAGGGAATGGTCAGGAATCATCATCATAGCTACTATTTTGGTCCTGTTTTATACCTTGCTCTAAGTGTTTTGCATATATAATTTTGTTGAATACTCTCAATAAATCACATTTGTTACAGGTAGTAAATGATCTGAAAGTGGAGCAGGATTGGAATATAGATTCATCATCATCATCAAAACACATCTCACTAAAGAAAGGTACCGAACCAATCATATGTATATATATATGCACATACATTCACACACACATTATTTCATTTAATCCTCATAAAAGTCCTATGAGATAGATGTTGTTTATTAATCCCATTTTACTGGTGAGGTACCTGAGACTCTAATATGTGATTGAATAACTTGGTTAAGATGATACAGTTGGTAGTTGTTAGGTGGTGGAGTTCAGACCACGCTTTACTGACTCAGGGTCCCTAAGTTGTATAATTCACATTGTGTTGTGTTCTCTGGGAATGGTACCCCTTGGATTTTAACCACTATGTTCTTTCTACTATTATGCTGCCTCCCTCAGAAGTCAATAAATTATCTATACAGCTTTGGATCTTATTATTTTAAGAGGGGCTAAGTAGGCTGCAACTGTAATTTCTTAGTACTTAAAGTTTGTAGTTACAACAAAGTAAAAACACGTCTTGTCTTTTTCTCCCCTACTGGTTTTGGAGAAATTTGTTGTAAATGACAGTGCTCTGTGTTTTTACAAAAGGAAAAATAAGGCTTTCAGTCCTTTATCAGCTTACAGTTCTTCTTGTTTTATGTGATGTAATAATTTGAAACTGCCAAAGTCCAGCCCTCAGGAAATTGTTTGAGTTGAGTAACTATATTCATTTGGGAGTTTGTGATAAGCAGCCCATAAATCAACAAATAGCTTAGACTTTGTTAAGATTGTAGATGTTTATCTCTATTTTCAAACGAATTAGAAGCAAATGTTGATTAAATCAATACAGTCTCCATTAGAAAAAATCTGAGTATCTCATGCTAGTTATGGACATTTTGGGGGCTCTTTTCTTTAAGGAGAGTCAGAATTTATCAGGTTGGTGGAATTGGTTATTCTAGGTACTTATCCCTTCAAACAAAAAGTTTTATCTTTCTACTAAACTTTCAGTGATTCAATGCATATTATATTTAACCTCTGTATGGAATGAAAACATGCCCTTAAGGAACACAGAATGTAATCCATGTGCACAAATAACTATTGATATAAGGGCAGATGGGAATGCTGAAATCTAAGCCCCACATGCAGTGAAAGAAGAGTAGAATGGAGTAAGAAAGGAGAATGAAAAGGTGAGAGAAAAAGGGGATCTGGGAAGGCTTTTGATGCAACTGTTCCTTGTAGGCTAGTTATGATTTTAACAAGAAATGGAGAGGAAAGGCACTCCAGGTGAAGCAGTGTTAGAGCCAAGGCAATGAGGAAGTAGAGTACAGAGAATATTCATTATACAGAAAAGAGTCCAGTTTACCTGAGGTGGAGGACAAGTGAGGGGCACATAGTAGGTGCTCAAGTGAAATGTCTGATCAATGAATGAGTGGGTAGAAGATGTAACTGGAAATAATAGCAAGGTCTAATGATTCTCAAACTTTCTTCAGCGGCCTTAATTCAGTCTTATAAATTACTAATTAATTTTACTGGCAGAATATGTGAATATAAAAACTATGCAACATAAAAATCATAATCATGAATGTAAGTCAGTAAGGAAAAAAATCTGCCAAAGTAGGTCCAATTGAGGGCTTTGGTTTATTTGTTCATGTTTTTGCCTTGTTAGTAGAATCAGTGGATAAGAAACAATTATGGGAGAGAAATTGTGAAAAATCCATCCATTTATTCCACTACTCCTCTGAGGCCTCTTTTGAATTAGAGAAATTCCATTTTCTCTGGTCAAAAGAATGGCCCCCTCTGGGAGCCATTAAAGATTTTTGAAAAGGGGGATAACATGGTATTTAAGCAGTCCTCTCAGTAGTCACATGTAGGATTGGAGGCTTGGCAATAAGTCAGTGATGTGGTGCAGTGATCTGTCCAGGCAGAGGTGGTGAGAAGCAGCAGCAATGAAAATAGAATGAAAGGAAATAGAAATTCAAATCTGGCCTTCTGTCTCCAAATAAAAAATAGTTAACAATTATTAAACAGCTTTCATATTGCTAGGACATTAGGTGTTTCAGTGATTGGTTACCTCTAGTCCAAAGTTCTTTCACTCTATTTTTAGGGAAAATGAGTTTAAATCTCAATTTTAGTTTTACTTTGAGTAAGGAAATTATAAATTATAGGTAATTTATCTATGAATTATAGATTATTTGGAAAATAGAGAAAAGAGGGAAAAAATCCCTAATTCCATCACCCTAATAAAACCCCTATTTTTTAACATTTACTTACCCTTGATTTTATAGATTGAAAAACTTTTCTAATAGTCATTCTGGGTAAATCATCTGATAAACAGGTTCTTGAACTAATAAAGCTTAACCCATTAACTGCTATTCTGTGATGTTAAACACAGTAAGCCCAGAGATTTCCCATCATGCCTTCATTGCACTCTAGTTTACCAGGATTGCAAACTATGTCAATGTCATGAATCTGTTTTAGTCCACTTACCTTTATACATGTAGGTATTAACCCAAGGTTCCCTTTGAGCCCAAGGTTCCCTCCTTCAGTTTGCATAATTTAAGTTTTTTATTTTGTAACAATTTTGGACTTAGAGAAAAGTTGTAAAAATAGTACAGAGCCCTCACTCAGCTTCCTTTAATGTTATCTTAAATAACCATAGTACTGTGATCAGAACCAGGACATTAACAATACTACTAACTAAAGACCTCTTTTGAACCTCACCAGTTTGTCCACCTTTGTTGTTTTTGTTTGTTTGTTTCAGGATCCTATTTGTGATTTCAGATTGCATTTTGTATGGTTTTCTTCATTAGTTTCCTGCATTCTCTAAAAGTTTTTCAGTCTTTCTTTTACAACTTTGACATTTTTGGAAAGTATTGATCAGTTATTTTGTCAAATGTCTCTCAATTTGGGTTTTTCTGATGTTTTCTCATGACTGTACTGAAATGATATGGTTTAGATAAGAATGCCACAAATAATGCTGTGTCCTCAGTGAATTATTACCATGGGATTCATGATGTCAGTATGTATTATTGCTGTTGATGTTGACCTTGATCACTTGGTTAAGGTGGTTTCTGCAGGGGGTTTCTCCATGGAAAGTTACACTATCTTTCCCTTTGTAGTTAGTAAATATCTTGGTGGAGATACTTTGATACTATCATTTGGACAAATGGAGTTCTCTACACATGGAATTGTGTTTACTTAGAGGCTTCACTGAACTTTATTTAATTATTAATGAAATGAATTCCCTTAAGAGACTTACTACCTTCTGAATTTCCCGTACCTTTCACCCAGTTTCATCACAGAGATCCACCCAGGCTCTTCAGGAACAAATCCTTTCTAGTCTTCATTGGTCTCAGTCTTGATGTTCCATGCATAAGTTTCCAAAGAAGTTTCCATGAATGTTGCATGAAATTTCCAATGCTAATAACTTGTAGATCTCTGAACTTTATTTGTTCCCCTGTCTCTTAGGGTGACAGGCTCTTCCTGACTCAGTGCCATTTCAGGCCTACTCTCTCTCTCTGCATAAGCTAGTTTCATTTCAGCAAACATTTGAATGACTACTTTGGGTTTTTTCAGAAACAGAGGCTAAAATGAAATTTATTAGTGAGGAATACAGTAGGGGATAATTAGGGTGGCTGCAGCTGTAGCCTGGTTTATTACTTTGGCCTGAGGAAAATGGCAGCAGCAGCACTTTATGCTGTCCTGTGTGTACTTATTGTGAAGTAATGGTTCTCTGTATTTTGTTAATACAGAAAAAATAAAATGCTTTTTAAAAGGGCGTAAGTTTTTGGAGCTATACTGCTAAATGCTGTTTTGAGCTGTGATCTTTTAAATTTAGCCCTGTTACTTCTACCCTGCCAACTGTTGATTCTGGTACAATGGGTCCCAAAATGCAAAATCCAAATGTGCACCAAACAGTATAATGTAGATCTGTTTGGTGCTAACAAAATTCATACAATAAATAACATATGAAATTCTGCTTTGATTAATAAAATACAAATTTATTAGTATTATTGAGTTTAAAGTAGCTTTTTGAATGATGTATTTTCTCAAGTAGCATATACTATAAAAGCCCAGTTTCTCTAATACGATTCAGATTCTGTGGAGCCTGAAGCTTATGTAATTCAGGGGGTCCTCTTTAAGGAAAAATTGTTTTTAAGATAGTAAGTTAGATATTGGGCTTTGAGGGGGAAGATGGGGTCCTGAAGCTTAATCTTCATTAGTTCTTTATAAATCTGCCTTTGGATGTAGGGGTCTGCAAAAAAGTTTCGGACCTACTGTTTTCCATCATCTCACACATGGAAATGTTCTTAGCCTGTCCGCAGGAAGCTAGTGTGTTCCGATGGAGAACAAACTGGTACTGTAACTTAGTAACACAAGGAAATAGGGACTCGGTAACAAGGTGACATGCTTCTTTCTCTCCAGAAGCTTACCTAATGTTAGAGACCACAAAGTAATGCAGGCTATTTTAACTTAGTAAATCCCAGGAGCTAGGTAGTAATGATGATTAAGTATAAAGAAGATTAAAAATTAAATGAATATAAGAATGTATGTTCAGATTTTCTATTCATGATTCAGTCTTGGTAAGTTGTATTTCTAGGAGTTTATCCATTTCTTCTAGGTTATCCAATTTGTTGGCATATAACTGTTCATAGTAGTCATATGATCCTTAGTATTTCTGTGCTGTCAGTTATAATGTCTCTTCTTTCATTTCTGATTTTATTTGTGAGTCTTTTTTTTCTTAGTCTAGTAAATTTGTCAATTTTGTTTATCTTTTCAAAAAACCATCTCTTAGTTTAATTGATCTTTTCTATTGCCTTTCTAGTATATGTTAATTGACTTGATTTAGGGATCCTTTCACAATGTATGTGTATATCAGATCATCAAGTTGTATACTTTAAATATATGACAATTTAGTTGTCAAACAAACATACCTAAGTAAAGCTGGAAAAAAATTAATGAATAAGTTTCTTTGGGGTTCCTTAAGAGTTTATTCAACGATAGTAAAATATAGATTGTATATCTTTTTCAGAGTTAAGAGCAACATAGTAATAAGATTCTTAACAAGCTCACTCTCTTCCTTCCACATTTGACTGATTACTCTCTAGTTTTAGGACTTGGTTGGAAGTAGTAAATGTGGATAAAGATGATGATAATTTCCTGCAAAGAGTTTGGGTATAAATAGCTGCCAAGTAGCTTGCTGTCTGTGAGTTTGTTGTAGTCCAGGACTATTCTCTGCAGTGTGCTGTGAGCCCTTTGGTTGCTAATGCTATAGGGGCAAAATCAGCCAGATAGGAGTACTAGGTAATAGGCTATGAAGCAGTTTTAATTTAAATTTGAATAAATTTTCTTATACCACTTAGTTGCCATTATCAGGTAGCGTTTTTTTTTTTAATTCTACCAAACATTTTTCTTTTTATTACGGTATCATTGATATACGATGTTATGCTCAGATTTCACATGAGCAACATTGTGGTTACTACATTCACTCTTATTATCAAGTCCCCACCATATACCCCATTACAGTCACTATTCATCAGTATAGTAAGATGCCATAGAGTCACTACTTGTCTTCTCTGTGTTGTACTGCCTTCCCCGTGCCCCATCCCCCACATTATGTGTGCTTATCATAATGCCCCCTTTCCCCCCTTATCCCTCCCTTCCCACCCATCCTCCCCAGTACCTTTCCCTTTGGTAACTGTTAGTCCATTCTTGGATTCTGTGAGTCTGCTGCTGTTTTGTTCCTTCAGTTTTTGCTTTGTTGTTACACTCCACAGATGAGTGAAATCATTTGGTACTTGTCTTTCTCCGCCTGGCTTATTTCACTGAGCATAAAACCCTCTAGTTCCATCCATGTTTTTGCAAATGATAGGATCTCTTTTCTTCTTATGGCTGAATAATATTCCACTCTGCATATGTACCACATCTTCTTTATCCATTCATCTACTGATGGACATTTAGGTTGTTTCCATTTCTTGGCTGTTGTAAATAGTGCTGCAATAAACATAGGGGGTGCATATGTCTTTTTGAATCTGGGATCCTGTTTTCTTAGGGTGAATTCCTAGGAGTGGAATCCCTGGGTCAAATGGTATTTCTATTTTTAGTTTATTTATTTATTTAGTTAGTTAGTTATCATTAATCTACAATTACATGAAGAACATTATGTTTACTAGGGTCCCCCCTTCACCAAGTCCCCCTATTTTTAGTTTTTTAAGGAACTTCCATACTGCTTTCCACAATGGTTGAACTAATTTACATTCCCACCAGCAGTGTAGGAGGGTTCCCCTTTCTCCACATCCTCGGCAGCATTTGTTTTTGTTTGTCTTTTGGATGGTGGCCATCCTAATTGGTGTGAGGTGATATTTCACTGTGGCTTTAATTTGCATTTCTCTGATGATTAGCGATGTGGAGCATCTTTTCATGTGCTTGTCGGCCATCTGAATTTCTTCTTTGGAGAAGTGTCTGTTCAGATCCTTTGCCCATTTTTTAATAGGGTTATTTGCTTTTTGTTTGTTGAGGCACGTGAGTTCTTTATATATTTTGGATGTTAACCCTTTATCAGATATGTCATTTATGAATATATGCTCCTATACTATAGGATACCTTTTTTGTTCTACTGATGGTGGTCTTTGCTGTACAGTTGTTCTTTAGTTTGATATAGTCCCACTTGTTCATTTTTGCTTTGTTTCCCTTGCCCGGGGAGATATGTTCATGAAAAAGTTGCTCATGTTTATATTCAAGAGAGTTTTACCTGTGTGTTCTTCTAAGAATTTTGTGGTTTCATGAACTACATTCAGGTCTTTGATCCATTTCAACGTTACTTTTGTGTGTGGGATTAGACAATGATCCAGTTTCATTCTCTTGCATGTAGTTGTCCAGTTTTGCCAACACCAGCTGTTGAAGAGGCTGTCATTTCCCCATTGTATGTCCATGGCTCCTTTATCATATATTAATTGGCCATATATGTGTGGGTTTATATCTGGGTTCTCTATTTTGTTTTTTTTTTGTAGATTCCTTGAGATTTTTAAGTGCATAACATCATGTGTGAATAAAGACAGTTTTATTTCTTCCATTCTATCTATATTTTTAAGGGTATCTTTTTCTTGCCTTATTTATTACACAGTCTAGGATCTCCACTATGATGTTAAAGAGGAGTGAAATTGGACATCTTTGCCTTGCTGATAAGACCTGAAAAAAGTGGGAGTGGTTATATCAACAACATATCTGGCTTGTAAATGAGGTTGCTCTACTGCTAAGGAGCAATTCAAAGTTTCTTTTTGTGTAAATTGCACACAAATAAGTAATGAGGCATGTTAAAGAGAAATATTAATTAAAATTTAATTATCTAGTGATTCTATAACATCTCTGTGTATTGATAGATAGTAACTTCACCAGTTGGGGTGAGGATTTAATAATGTGGGTAACTGTTGAATCACTGTGTTGTATACTTGAAACCAATAAGATTGTATATCAACTATACTTCAATAAAAAATTAATTATATAAATGAATTGAAATGACAAGAGACCAGAGGCCAGACAGACATATATATTATAATAGAATATGGGAGGTAATTGTGATATAAACTAGGGTGATAGTGGAAGTGAAAAAGAAGGATCAATATAAGAGATTTTGAAGGGAAAAATGACAAGCCTTTGTGACAGGGATAGGAAAGGAGAAGAGGGGTAGGAAGGAGTCAAAGGCTATAGAGGTTTTGGATCTGGGCAATTGGAGATGCCATTAGTAAAAAAAAAATAAAATCAGAATCAGGAGGAACTATTTTTTAGGGGCAAGAAGGTTACTTCAGATTTGGGCTTGTTCAACTTGTATGAAAGTGAAGCTATGTGCAAGAAGTTGGTAATTTGGTTTTAGCTTCCATGAGATTTGTGTGATTTATCAGACCACAAGTGATAGTTGAAGTTCTGGTGGAGAAGGGGATGAGAGCACCATGGGAAGTACCATAGAGAGGAGCAAGAAGGTCTAGTTTAAACTTTGGGGAATAACCATATTTAAGAAAGCAGCAAAGGAGAGAGAAAATGAACTGCCAGAGCAGTAGAAAAACTAGTGTTTGTTGTTATTCTTTCATCTTATTTATTCTCCATTTTCTTATTAATTCACCCAACAAATCCAGGATTGTGTAGCATCAAGACAGCTGTTGTTGGGTACTGCAGAAAAGTTAAGAAAAATAAGGCCTATGGAAAAAGTTGGTAGGTTTTGAAATTAGGAGATTTCTTTAGAGAGTGATGTTCCATAAAGTAAGATTGAGGTTAAGTGAAGAAGCAGTACTATGTTCTAAAGAGATTAATGGTGAACAAGGAGAGGCAGTAGTTGTAAATAAATAACTGTAGAGGCATTTCATAGTGAAAGGTAAAAAAAATATATAGAATACTAGGCATAAGAGGTCGTAACCTCAAGGTGATCTTTGTTGCCTTTTTTTTTTTGAAGAATATAGGATATCTGTGTGCTGTTATCTTCAAAGGAAAAAAAATTTCATGAGGAGGGAATATTTGAAAGGTAATAATAACAATAACCATCATTTATATAACAATTACTAGATGCCAGTCATTGATATTAGCACTTTGCATGAATTAACTACTTTGAATCCTCACAATAACCAACAAGATACTGTGGATATGGTTTGGAATTATTGACATGTGGAGTGTACCAAGTAATTGAGTAATTGCTTATTGATTCATCAGTGCAAATGTAGTTTCTTAAGTAAATTACAGGTAAACTGCTACATAGAGTAACAAACTACAAATATGAGGAACTTCCTTCTTAAGTTGGTATCTCTGCGTAGTGCAGTTTGACTCTCTAATGTTTGGGTTACTTTTAGCTTTAATCACTAGTAATGGTGCTACTGTTCCATCACTAGAAACTGAGATACTCTTCATGGTTTTTTTCATTTGAATCATTGATCAGTTAAACATGGTCATTCTTTGTAGACCCTCTAAAATGTTACTCTATTCCTTGTAACAGCCTTAGCTGTTTGCCTTTTTTACAAATGCAGAGTTAAAAGTTTGTGTTTTTAAAATAATTGTAAAATTAAAATATTTTTCTAAGCACGTAGCTAATGGGTGCTGTGCTATTGTTCTTTTTATACAACGGGAAGAGTTATTCCTGGTGTCCTAAAACTTTCTAGTATCCTGAGGTCCCCAAACCAAAATTTACTTTTTTACTTTTAGTCACTGCAGTTCGCCCATTTGGTAAACTCGTTATTCATTCCTTGTTTTGAAAACTGGCTAGTACTTTATCATGCTTATTGCGTTAAACCTCAGCCACTGTGTGAAAATAGGTATTGTGCTATAGTTTTATAGAGTCAGAAGACAAAGTTCAAGAACCTAAGTAGTTTGGGATTATACAAAGTAGTAAAAACATGGAATTGAACACATGTCCTCTAATTCAAGTCTAGTCCTAGTCCTCTTTGTATAATATCACAATGATGTATATCACTTGCTCCTTACAACAGCTTGACATTATACTGTATTTGAACTCTCCTTTTCATAGAAATACTATTAGTGCTCTGTTCCATTTTATGTTATCTTCATATCTATATATTTTATCTTCATATCTGACACCATATAAAATAAATAGGAAATAAAAACAAGTAGAGAATAATATGACACTATAGTGTAAATCAAATATGCTTTTTTATATTTGTTTTTCTTTTTCTTTTTTTTGATTTTAGTCATGATTTTGCTTTGACTCACTAATACTGCTTATAGTGCAAGATAATTTTTACATAATTAAAAATGCAGATGTCTATTCCTTTTTAATTAAAAAAATTTTAAAGTTAAAGAGAAGGTACAAGAAATAGTACAAAGAATTCTCATATTTCCTTCAGCCAGATTTACCTATTGGTAACGCTTTGCTGTATTTGCTTTACCATTTTCTCTTTCCTTTTCTCCTTATGTACACATATGCATACACACATACCCCACATATAAGTAATTTTTTTCTTCTGAACCATATCAGAGTAAGTTGCAGACATTATGCTTTTTTACTTCTAAATACGTCAGTATTGCCTAAGAAGTTCTTTTTCTTTTTTAAAATAGGTTGTTAGAGCCATGTAAATAGAACTCTTAATTTACTTTCTCGTAATATCTTTAGTAGATGGCATTGGAGAGTTACATTGTTTGATTCTAGACCTTCAACTTAGTGAAATGTTTTGTCATCAGTATTTTGTTGGGCCATTTGTTACTGCCTTTCTTGGCTTTGTTCTTTTTGGCTCTCACCTCTAGTTTCTGACACACCTAGAGCAAGTGTAAGAACTTATTGCTTTACCCTACATAATGATGCCATTCAGAGCCTGAGAATCTTTTTCTGCTACTGCCTTTTTTCCCTTTGCTCCTTGAACTCAGGGGTGTGTACCATAGGGCAGGCTGACTTTCAGTAAGCTCCTCATGTGGACACTGGAAACTGTACATGCTTGCCAAGTCCTTCTGGCTGTGAGCAAAGTGGAGGCTTGGTACTTATCATTCCTTTGCAGCAATTGAACTGAAGGAATGCTGCATGGCTTGTTGGAAGTTGCTTAGCGGCCCAGAGCAGGGTGTGTATGAGGGTGTGTACAGAGTTGAGGGTCTTATAGTTTATGTGGGAGACATGGGATCCTACCTGGGGTCATGCTAATGACCAGGCAGTATCTATTGAGTACTTCCTTATGACTAGCACTGTGTAGGAGCCTTTGGAATAGTATAATAAAATACATAATTAAATCATGGTATAATAGTCAAACAATTCTAGCTCTGCCACATACCAGCTTTGATTTGAACAAGTTAATATTTTTAAGCCTTACTCTACTCTTCTGTATAATGGACTATTAATCTACATGATAGGGCTGTGGTGAAGAGTCAATAAAAAATGTAAGTATAATGTTTAACATATGTTTGACACTAGTTGGTGCTTCATTTTACACAGTCATATTCAGGATATATTACTGACACCATATAAAATACATAGGTAATAAAAACAACTAGAGGATAATATGACACTAGTGTAAATAAAATACAAGAATACAAATAATTGTGACACATAGATTATAAATAGTCAGGGAATGTAGAGAAGGGAGAGAACAGTCTTGTGCAACCTTTAATGTTCCTGTGCCTTGTTTTTTTCACTGGATACACTGTGGCTAATGCTAGGTGATCTCCTAGAGAATGATTAAGATAGTAAATCAGTTTTGCTTTTTTAGTGGTTCATGTAATGGTAGGAAAGGAGGGAGAAGTTTGTGGAACTGTTAGAAACCAAATTTAATGATTCACATTCTTAATTTTTTCCTTATGTGGACATGGCAGCCTTATAGGAAAACTTAAAGCTGGAGATTAGAGCATTTCCTTCCAAGGAAGGTGCTTGCTTTGGTATTTTTCTCTGTTGCCTCACTGGCACTTTAATTCATTGAAAACTGTTGGTCAATGGATGGCCTCTGATAGTGATCCAATCAGATATAATCTGAGAATTAAGTGATTTGTAACCCAAATTATCTTTCTGATCTTTTGGCAAAAATAAAACATATAAACAAACAAACTGGAGGAGAAGATTTAGTTCTCTTGGACTGGATGTTTAAGGACATACTACCTTGACTCACCATGACTGTTTCTTTAGGATGGGACATCTTTACTCAGAGCAGAATTCAGACAGATAAGTTGGCCCTCCCACCTTTAAGTAGGCTTTTGTAGCTATGAACATGTAAAACACCTTTTAAAATTTCTTTACTCACAACATTGAAAAGAAACCATTCCAATTCCTAGTTGATAATGTACTTACTTGATAAATTTTTTGTTAGCCAGATTTTGGAAAGTTTTGATTTTTTCCAGATCAACTCTAGAAAATTTCAGAGAAGTTTTCCATGAAAGTAAAGCTGCTTCACACCTTTTTTTCCCTCTTTGGTTTGACTGTTTCTCTTTTTTGTTGTTGGAGGTTTTTGTTTGTTTGTTTGTTTTTCTGGAATTGTTTGCCAAGGTTTCAAGTTTATAGTGAGAGGTGAGGCAATGTTAATCTTGGCAGAACAGCACAAAAAGCCAGTAGAGTCATTAAGTGACACAAGCTTTTGATTTTTTTTTTCCTGTTAAAGCTCTCTGGCTCAGCTGGCTATTCTAGTCACAGAGGAAAAGAAGAGACTTTCTGAAGTTCTGGATGGAATGATAGAAGATGTTTGGGGCATATTAAAAAAACAGCAGCATGAACAGCTGCAAAACCCCATATAATTCAAACAAGTTTCTTAGCTTTGTGGAATCTGTGTCAGTTGCTTGGTACTTGAGAGTTTACTTCAGAGGATGATGGGACAAGGCAATAAAAGGTGAGGAGGGTTGCATTGCTGCTTCTTGCTTATCTGTCTGCCTCTCCTTCCAGTTGGAAAAAACTTCAGTCCACAAGAAGCATTACAAACAAGCCTAAGGAACACATCCTACCCTGATCTGGATTCCACGGAGTTGAGGATTACAGCCACTTCACCACGATTTTATGGAGGCAGTTCAAGAAAAATAGAATGAAGCGATAATTAAGGATTTCTCTGTTATTCCTGTGCCGTGTTAAATTCTGGGCATTGCTAGGAGTAAGTGGAAGACAGTTCTGTCATGTGGATCTGAGAGGATATCTGTGTTCCTTGAGCTACATATATGATATTTGGAAAGTTGTAAACTCAAAATTTTTCAACATAAGTTCATTAAGTTCTGGATTCTCTTTCTATTACGAACTTTAGTAGACAGAAACTCCCTCTCAAAAAGATAAAAAACCTTCTCTACATTTTCAGGCTAAATGTGAATAATAATGTCTTGGAAAAGAAATTACTTTTCAGGGGGCCGTGGTAGTGTACAAGGGATGTTTGCTCCTCGAAGCTCCACCTCCATAGCCCCCAGCAAAGGCCTCAGCAATGAGCCGGGGCAAAACAGCTGCTTCCTCAACAGTGCCCTGCAGGTAAGGGTAATTTACTTCTTTTTGGTGAACTTTGACCTTAGTTGCTGATGCTGTATTTCTGATAACTCTTTTAAATATAATACTTTTAAATATAATACTTGACCTCTCTGAGGCAGTAGCCTGAGATAATTACTTCAGTTTATTTGTGTGATTTTAGGCAAGACACTTTATCTCTTTGAGTCTCAATTACCTAATGTGTAAAGAAAGGGGATTAATAATGATAATAGAAATAATAACTGTAACTAATACTACTTATCTGCCTAAAGAGAGGTATATGGACTAGATGATCTTACTGCTTGTTCAGTGATTTTTTTTTTTCCTGTATGGTGTCTACTGATTCCTCTTTTTTCCTTTTGAGACCAAGGTGTCTTACCACCCTACTTGTTTTCCTCTAGTATAGAAAACATAATTCTTTCCACAAGTCAAAGACTTTCAGGTATATTATTCTTGTCTCTTATTATTCAGGCTCTTAGCACACACACACACACTGAATGGAGTCCAGTCTTGTCCATTTCTTCATCTCCTTCCTCTGAAGTCTCCTATAGTGGCTCATCATTGGTGTATGGTCAGATGTGTTTGAACAGAGCTAGTGGAAAGTAAATTCCACTAAGGTGATTATCTATTGTAGATTTTCCCTTTTGGTGTTGCTTCCCACCTAGCAATCTAAGAATCTCAAAACTTCCTGTGTATCTGCTCAGCTTCATTAGGGCCATAGACCATTCGGTTTATCCCTTTTGGGATTACTTTCAACTAATTACTTTCTCCTCTTTTCTGCTTTTGGAGTTAAAGTAAGTGAAATTTCCCACCCAAGATAATTATGCTTAGGTAAAATATTAGTTTTACATCTCATATATAATGAGAAAATAAGTTGCTATGAGAGAAGAAGAGACAAAACAATGTATTTGGTATAAAAAGCACTGGAGTTAGAAATTAGGAGACCTGGATTTAGTTTTAGCACTTCTGTAGACTAGCCTTGTGACCTTGTACTAGTCACAATAGTGTTTCATTTTCTTCCTTCATAGTATAAGAATCTTGTCAAACTTGTTGATATTATGAAAGTTTAATTCTCCCTTTAAAAAAAATCCTATGCTGCCAAGCCTACAGAAAGAGCTTAAGTACCTTCCCTAATTACTCCACAAATTTCAGCAGTTGGGTGGGTTTGGTTAGGGTTTTGTTTTTTTATTCCCAGAAGATGCATGCTAGGTCTTTGAGTGACTTTGCATGAACTATACTTTTGTAATTTAGAAGTAGGCAAAATAGAGTGTTGATATAGGTTTGTGTTGTGTTTACCTCCTTTCTGGCTATAGTCCTATTTTTATAATTCTTTTTTATGTTCTATCTATATTGTCATTTGAAACAATAATATAAATCACTTTCTGTTCTATTTTCTGGCGCCATATGGCACATATACTCAACATGCATATACACATGCTCATATGTATTTCCTCTATCTATACTTACAGACTGAGTCATTGATGGTTTTGGAGTACCTATCATAATTATGACACAAATCGAAAATAATTAATTCTGTGAGCGAATATTTAACTTTTTATATGAAAGCTGTGTTTGCCACCAATGTATTGGACCATTATATTCATTAAAAAAGGTGTTACTTCTTTGTGAGCATAGTGTGTTTCCAAGAACTTTTGGAATACGTACCTTGAGACATGTATATAAGAAGAAATTGCAGAGGTATACTGTGATCTGGGGTTCCAGATTTGTAGTTCTTTTTCATATATGATACCATTTAAATGTTTTCCAGGCAAGCATAACTTCCTAAGACATTGTGCTATATGTTAAACCATTTTTTAAATTCAAGTATCATTGATATATTTCTTTTTTAACTAAAGTCCATGGTTTATTCAGATATCCTTTGTTTTCGCTTACTGTATTTTTCTGCGCCAGGATCCCGTCCAGGATACCATATTTACATTTACTTGTCATGTCTCCTTAGGCAACTCTCGGCTGTGACAGTTTCTCAAAATTTCCTTGTATTTGAATATCTTGACAATTTTATTAGTCAAGTATTTTGTAGGATGTCCCACTATTGGAATTTGTCTGAAGTTTTTCTCATGATTAGACTGGGGTTATGGGTTTTTGAGAGGAAGACCATAAGTAAAGTGTCATTCTCATCACATCATATCTAGGTTACAGACTATGAATGTGACTTATGACTACTGATATCACCATTATTTTTTAAAAATTCTGTTGACTTAAGGAGGCCACACCTCTCTCAGAAAGGTCCAAAAATAGAGAAATCTAACAAAGACAAAGTTTCACACTACAATTCAAGCTTCTAAATAAGTTTTATAGTATTCTTGCTTTTCTTGTGGACCATTAACATAAATCCTTACTCTATAGCCTTTAACCCATAAATTTCCTCTTCAGGATCACATTTGATGTACCATATTTTCTCTGTGTAACCTTCCTTCATGTTCAAATTAATGTATTTTCCACAATTTGGTTATGTGTCTTTCTTGTTAGATTCCTCTCCTTTTTGACATTTGTTTTATCCTTCTATACTAGAAGGAGCTTTTCTCTTGGAAAGAAAATAATCTTCGGCAACCATCTATGTTTGTTTGAACTCTTGAATTTAAAATTAAATGGTGACTTTTTATAAAGTAATAAAGTATTTTTTATTCTTTACCAGGTTTTATGGCACTTGGATATCTTCCGGCGTAGCTTTAGGCAGCTTACAACTCACAAGTGCATGGGAGATTCCTGCATCTTTTGTGCTCTCAAGGTAAATACTTCAAATTTGTTTCTTCTCATTATCATAGGTTGTCAAATGATCAATACTAAGTTGGTTTGGTTAATCAGGTGATGCTAAAGAATTTCTTACTGAATTATCTGCCTGTGGTTTAGTGCAAAGGGTGAGCATGATTACTTTTGGTTGCTTTAACGAATTACTACTTGGCTTCAGTAGTGTTTTTCTGAACCGTTTTGCCCATATAGCTCTATTTAACGTGCTAGGATGCTATTCAAATGTGCTTAGATGTTGACTATATACGTGAAAAGGTAATTCTGAATTTTCATTTTGAAAGAATAAATAACCAAGTGTTTTTAATGGAATCAACTATTGTCTGTGACAAACTTCTTATTGAGAAAAGCCAGTACTAAAATTTTCCCATTTCTCCATTCCCTAATGTTTTCCATTACCACATCTAGTAAATTCTTTATACCAGTTCTCTACCCCATGATCTGATCCCACTTTTTCATTTCTCAATAAAATGAGACTGAGGATTCATTTAAAAACAAAGAAAATGGCCTAAGGTGAGAGATTTCTGACCCAAAGATTTTAGGTATGCTGCTAAAGAAGAAGAACTAGAGTGTGTAAAGGGCCCATTCTCCATCACTTTTTTGGCTTTTCCAAAGTGTGGCTTCTCTGTTTTCTCGGACCCTATATACAGTGGGTTATTTGTGGTTGGTTGAGTCTGAGTTCTGAGTAAGCATCCAGAGTCCTTTTTTGGACTCATGAAGTCTGAATTCTTGGTATGCCACAGGGATGCTTGGATATGATCAATTACATTTTAATTTTGCTGCTTTTACATCTTAGAATAGGAATTGTGACCAAAAAGTCCAGAAGAATTTCCCAGTTATATATTTTTTGCAACAACTGAATTAAAACAGTTTTTTGACCAGTATTACTTTGGAGTTTTAAGTCCATGAGGGAAGATATCTTTAGAAAGAGATAACTGAGTCTTCTGAACCCTTTGCTACTAAGGTCATGGACATGGTTTTTCTACCCATTGGAACCCTCAAACTTTTAGAAAAATACAGAATGTAAATTCTTGGTTAATTGAAGAATTTTAATATGAAAAATTTTTTATTAAAAAATAGAAAATTTTAATAAAACCAAATCTTGTACAAGTTGTAATGTTTCTAACTATGCCCATTCAGACAGAAGGCTATTCACAAGAGCATTTGGCCTGAATTTCTGAAAGGTACATTGACATTAAGTATCTCATTTTAAATGAACAAGAAATACAATTGTCCTTTGGTCACAAGGCCAAGGGAAGTCCAGTTCATGTTCCTAAAACAAAAAAGCAAGGCATGATGCTTGGTTTTAGTCAAGACAAGAAAACAAAGGAAAGACAGATGTTGAAAAGGAAGCAACAAAGTTGTCATTATTTGCAGATGATGTGATTGGGTATTAAAAAAAAAATCCCAGAGAATCAATCATAAATCAGTAGAATCAGTAAGAGAATTTAGCAGGTTGTGTGTAAGATCAAGATACAACATTTAATTGCATTTTGTATACTAGCAACTAACATAAAATGTAGTTTAAAAAGAGCTCTTATAATAGGAACAAAGTATATAAAATAGATATGAATAAATCTAATAGAAAGTTGTAAGACATTGATGTAAAACCCCCACAGAGATCCAATAGATTGAGTAACCATAAAGTGAATATCCTTTTAACATCTGTTTAGAGATACTGCCAGTCCAAATAGAATACTGCCAATACCATTGAATTCTTCCTCCCTTCTTTCTTAATCACATCTCCTTCTTTCTCCCAGGGGCAGCCATTTTCCTAATGTTTGTGGTAATCACTTCCCTATTTTACTTGACAGTTTTACTGCCTATGTATCCATTCTTAAACAACCTAATTAAAAATATTACCTGATTTGTGTGTGTGTGTCTGTGAGGTCAAAGTATGTATGTATGTGTTTATTTTTAATGTGTTTAAGGATTTTTGTGTTTATTTAAGTATAGTTGACATTATATTAGTTTCAGGTATACAACATAGTGATTCAAATTTATATACATTATAAAATGCTCACTCAGAAAGTATAGTTATCATCTGTCACCATACAGTTATTAGAATATTATTGACTATATGTCCCATGGTGTACTTTTCATCCCTGTGACTTATTATTATTTTTTTTTTAAATTTTATAATTGGAAGTTTATACCTCTTTAAGTTTCTGTTTTTGAAACTTTATTTTAAATGGAATGATTCTGTATTTGTGTGGTATATCTTCTTTAGCTCAGCAATGTTTATAAGATCATCATGTGTGCAGGTTGAGTTTGTTCCTTTTCATTATTATATGGTATTTCATTGTGTAAATAAACCACTGTTTGTTTATCCATTCTACTGCTGGTAGTCCTTTGAATTATTTCCAGTGTTTTATTTTTATGAAAAATAGTGCTGAGAACATTCTTTTATATTTATCTACACACGTGTACATATTTCTTTTGCATATATGTCAAGGAATGGAAGTCTTGGATCATAGAATATGCATATCTTCAACTTTTTTAGATAATGCCTTCTCTTTTCCAGTATTTCCATGTTTTCCATGTGGTGGTACTACTGTATACTCTGACCAGCAGTATTTTCCTGGAAGTTGAGAAAATTCAATTCCGCAATTCATATGACAAACAGGGAAGAATAGACAGGATATTTGAAGAATAATAACAAAATGAGTGCCTTGCCTTGTGTATCAGTCAGATTAGGCTAAATTATTTTGTGGTTATAAACTAAAATCTCAGTGATAAATATACAAAAGATTTATTTCTCATTCACATTACTTGTCCACTGCAGGTTAGTAGGAAAATCCTACTGATTATAGTCACTCAGGAACTTGGATGCCAAACTACAACTAAGTTGAATATGACTTGGTGCTAAGCCAAAGGGAAAAAAGAGCTCTGGAGGGTTTTGCACAGGCAATTAAATGCTCAGCAGGTTACTTCATTGAACAGTTAATCATATGGCTCCAGTGAATCATGGGGGGCAGAAAGTTTGATCCTGTCAAAATCCATGGCAGAGGGAAGAACAAGAAATATTTGGCAAAACAGTACTACTGACTGCCATACTTTGTTAGGTATCAAGACTTATAAAACTATAGTAATTTAGATAATATGGTATCAACACAGTATGACTAATAAACTATAGAATAAAATAAAGAGTTCAGAAACAGACATGGAAACTTGCTACTTGCCCTATGAATGAAAGGAGAAGGCGGACTTTTCAATAAATGGTACATAGGTGATTTGCTACCCATATAGTAAAAAAAAAAATTAGATCCCTTTCTCATATTATGTATACCAAAAGTAAGAATTTCAGATGTATTAGAACTGAGCTGTGAAAAAACAAAATATTTTAAGTTTTAGAAGAAAATATGAGAGACTATTATGACCTCAGCAATAGATAGGATTTATTAAATAAGACATGAAAAATGCAAAGTTAAAAAAATGGATACATTTTACTACAGAAAATTTAAGAACTTCTGTTCATCAGAAAACTCCAATAGAGCAAAGACACAAGGCTACAAACTGGGAGAAACTATCTGTTATACATATATAACCAACAAAGGATTGCTATCCAGCATAGAACTTCAGAGAACTATAAAGAATAAAGATAATTGAGTCAGCAGGAAAATGGGTACAAGACATAAATAGACTTTTCTCAGAATAGGAAGTCCAAAACACCTTAAGCATATGAAAGATGTTACCCTTTTTTAGTAATCAAAGAAATGTAAATTAAACCATGCTCTTCAGATTAATAGAAATTGAAAAATTGTTACCTAAAAGGTGGGATAATGAAAACTTAATATACATTGCTGGTTGGAATATAAATTGATCCCACTATTTAGGAAAAGTTTGTCATTATATTTGTTAAATAAAATTAACCTAGCATTTACCTACCATTTAGTAATTCCATTCCTAGATATATGTGGTAGAAAGCTTCTTTGCACACACATACCAGGAGATATATTCAAGAATGTTCAAAGTAGTATTTTTTGTGGTTACAGAAAGTGGAAACAACCCATTCCAACTATAATAGAATGGATTTTAAAATTATGCTTTATTCCCAGAGTAAAATAAATACTACATAGTAGTGAAAAATGAATAACCTGTAGCTACATATATCAACTTGGATTAATCACAAAAACATTACAATGAATGAAAAAAGCCAGTCATGAAATACTACATAAATTATGACCATTTAGATACAAATAAAAAACAGGCAAACTAAATATGTTTCAGGTATATATACATGTGATAAAACTGTAGAGAAAGAGGAAATGATTTTCACAAAATTCAGGATAATGGTTACCTCTTGAAGGTGGAGGGGAAAAATGTAATCATTTGGGGAGTCCCAAACTCATTGTTAATTTTTCCATATTTTAAATTGGATGGTGGGCACTAGAATAATTATTTATTTATTATTCTTTGCCTGTATATGAATGTTATGTTTGTTCTTTACTTGGATGATGATTTTTATTATAAATAGAGAAAAGTACTAAAGTACACTAAAGTGTAAAGAGGAAAGCTGAAAGTTGCCTGAATTCCACCGCAGAGATTTTCATTTCTCTTTATGTCTCCTCTCTGGTCTGTGATATTTCTAGTAGTAAGTCTTTTTGCCCACTGTTTTAATAAAAAGAGTACTTTTTTTTTTCAGACCGTAAATTACCTCTCTCTCTCTAGTGTGTTCCTATTTCATTTTTTCTAATCTAAAAATATCCTTAAGTATTACTTTGAAGTTATTCCCATATAACCTTGAAGTGAATCCCAATTATGTTTTAAATCACTTAAAAATGTATGATTAATATAAATCAAGTACAAAAATCAAATGAATATTCATATTTGACCTGATGGTTTATAGGTCATATTGCATGATCAAAACCGAAAGTTTCTGTGATGACTGCCCTTGTACTGTTCACCATGTAAGAATTTATTCACTCTGTAAGAATTCGTTCACCATGTAAGAACTTGTTCGTTATGCTTCAGAAGATTGGAGACTGACGAGAATTAGGCTTGAGATGGATTANAAAAAAAAAAAAAAAAAAAAATGTATGATTATAGACAGACATCAAAAAAACTAATTTCACACTTTCTTTTCCCTTTCTTTCCTTCCCCAGGCACTCTTCATTTCAGCTATGGTAGCAGATGGTGCTCTTGTCAAGCCTACCGTTTAGACATTGCAGATGTCATTCACTTTGATACCCAAAACAATAACAAACAATAAAAAACACAACACATCCATCTTAAACCAAACCACATTCACCTTTCAGAACTCCAATTCAGAAAATTATCTTCATGAAATTTAAAAAATACTATCTCTATCTAGATCCATGGTTGTTTGACTTAACAGTGGTTAGCATGGCTGAATGAGTTTTGGGAAGGTGACTTAGCTTTTCTTCCCTCTTGGTGTTCCTGACAGTGCCTGGAGCATAATAAAAACACTTACTTTTTCTGGGTTCATATATTCTTTTAGTAGTTCTTGGATTTTAGTTAAGTCCTTTTTCTTTTTCTTTTTGTCTTTTATGCTCTCTCTCACTAGTGTCCTATTTAATCGAGATTTTTCATATTGTGACTTTTGACCTCATGCTTTATTTTAGTAGGTCTACTAACTTAGGCCTTCATACTTCATTTAGTAAGGTTGTGTGTGTGTGTGTGGCTGTGGGTGGGAGGGTTGGCACTTGATGGTAGGAAAGATCTGCTGAAGGAAGAGTGAAAGAGTCTGTCAGCAGAGCATTTATCTGATATCCTGCAGTTACCTATTAACTTTGTGGTATTCCAGTGTGGATGTGATTCTATATGTATATTTAAATGTCATTTTTTCTCCGTCTCCTATTTAAAAATTAGAGGAATGTTTGGTGAGGGTAATAAGAATTCCTTTTTGCTGGTTCTTCATGACCTGTTTATATTCTTTAATGCTAAGCTTGATGCCTAAAATTCTTATTTCATAGATGTTTCTCAAAACAAGAAGCTACAAAGTTCCTGGATTTCAAGTACTGTATAATAACTTGGCAGTTTTATAAAATTAGAATTCTTTGTGTTGGAGCATAGAACCTAATATTAAGGACAAAAAGAAACATGAACATGTTCCTAGATGAATCAGAAGCTAGCCAGCTTTCCCTTAGTCTGATATTTGGATGAAGGACTTGCCCTTCCAAGTCTGGCTGACAGATGCACATCCCTGCTCCTTTCCCAGTTGTTTACTTTAACTTGCACCAACACTTAAAATGCATTTACTATTGGCCTTACGTAAACATACCTTTTTGGCATGTCTTTGTTTAATAGTTTTGTTTTTTTCTTCTGTTCAGTGAATATTTACCAATATCCCTGTGCCTTGTAATCTTCATTAGGTAGCATAGTATATGTTGTATCCAGCATGTAATTGCTTATGGTGGTTCATACACAACGTTTACAATAATCTATTTCTCTGTTGGTCTTGCAAACAGGGTGTGTGTGTGTTGCTTGATACTAAGTCTCTATAGTAATTTCAGCCTTGAAATCTTGCATGCAAATTATTAATGATGACTTTCATTAAAACAATTTGTGTCAGTGTCTTCCTGCTTACTTTGCCTTTCAACTCTGACTTAGCAAATAGATTTGTGTGATAATTACCGTGCTTTCTAAAACTCAAAATCTGTTCACGTCTAGTGCTACTAAAAGAATTTTCCTGACCTAAACTTGTTATGCCTATAGCCCAAAGCTCTTATTTATTCATGTTGAATCTGCTCTTATACCTCCAGCCCCCAGGGTATGACTTGACTTTGGTGTTGGCTTATTTATTTATCTCTGTCCAGGGGAGGAAATCCGTCCTCTGTACTTAGTATGCCACAAAGATTTTGTTCTTCTTCCAGGGATTGTACTAGACGCTTTGCAGTGCCAGGATGTAGAACAGAGTGTTTTTTGTTGTAGGCAGAGAAGAATGCTACATTGATTGATTAAATTCAACAAATATTCTCACTTAGTGATTTTTCTTTTAAGAATACTAGTATAAGGCATAAAAGCTGGGGCATGGTGGTGGTGACGGGGGTTAGTTGGAAAGGAAATAGATTTTAGTATATAAGGTGTCCTGGAATTTACGTCTGTACATGTAGAGCAGTAAGACTGTTCCAAAGGGACAGGAAAGTTTGTGTTCTGCTGATAGTCCACCTGTTAACTGGGGGGATATTTGAGAGTTCCGAGATTAAATCCCTCAGTATTTTTTGAGTGTGTACAATATAGTTGGTCCTCTGTTAGGTACTAAGCATAAGCACATGGAGTAAAAATGATAATATAAGAAATAAAAAATAATAATATAAGAAATGACTCATTGTTCATTATCAATCACCTCTTTTCTTTTATAGATTATAGGAATGTAAGGTTCTTCATTGTCCTGTAGTCATGGCCAGTATCAGAGAAGAGTAAGCCCATTATCCAGGTCTGTTTTAACTAGGAAATTAAATTTTGTTCCCTGGAAATTTTTAGCTAGTAATAAACATTCTTCACATAAGGAAGGTATGTCCCTTTGTCTAAAGCAGGTTCATCTACTTGAGTTGAACTTCTTGTTTTGCTTACCTATGGGATATAGTATCTGTGTGGTCATTTGATTAACCTTTCTTAGTCTTAAAGTCCCATTAGGCTGTACCTAAATATTCTTAACTAATTTAGCCAGTCACATGACTTGGACAGTATAAAGCTGTTTTTTATACTTTTGAATTTTGGAGTTCATAAATTTACATGATATTCAAATAGAGGGGTAAGACTGCAAGTAAAACTACAGTAGATCATTATGATTCTTTCCAGAGTTTATGGCAGAATCTGAAACTTATACAATCTCAAAATATTTGTGCATGTCCAGAATTTTCCCCCTTTCCATTTCCCCCGTGGGGTAAGTGATTATGGTATTGATTCTCAAAATTTGACTTGAATACTGTTGGTGATCTATAAGGTCCTACATTTTGGCAAAAATAAGCAAACTGACTATTATATTTTGTACAATCTCAAAATTAGTGTATGATTTCCCACCAAAAGTAATACATCCCTTGGTAAATTTTGCTTGTCTCTGCTGTCTGTCTCTCTGTCCAGTATCTTGAATTCTTTGTGTTTCTCTCTGTCTTTGTCTTTGCATGTATGTGGGGGTCTGTCTGTTTTGCATAGGTAGCAGGAATCAGTGTGATAGGTGGCTTATGATAGTCATTAACTTCACTACTGGAAGTCCAAAGTACTAGGCTATGAACTGAGTGCAAATAAAGCCCTAAATTCAAGGAAAAATTACATTGATAACCAAATTTAATTTAAAGGAACTGATATAGGATATGCAAATAATTTTCTAATCAAGAAGTCCACAAGGCAGCCATTTTTAGATG